CAGCGCATGGCCGATTCTGATTGCAACGACAGGTCCAAGTTAATTGCCGCAGATTTATATCGGCGGGATTTCTCCGTGCGGCCTTTCCGAAACTACACAGAGGCCAATGTTTTCCTGAGCCAACTGTGCTTTTAGTGTCAATATATTGTATCGAGCAGCCTTTTGAGTCGTGAAAAATCTTCTGTTGCCTTTTCACTAACATGAGTGTCACAACTAATCCTCTTATTTGGGTGGGCGGGGAAACGAACGAATCATCATAATGAAAGTCGGTCTGAAACCGCTTCACACGTCGCACGGTCCGGCCGAGGACAATGGGCAATAAGCGGGATCAAGGAAGCGGCGCCCTCGCGGCCTCGGCTGGCTTGGCCTCGGCTGGCTTGGCCACGGCTGGCTTGGCCTCGGCTGGCTTGCGCGCGACGCTCATACGGCCGCTCTGATTACCCGGTCCGCCCCGCGGGACCCCCGGCCGGGTGCGTCCGTCACGGCCCCGCCCCGCTCCACCCCGCCCAGCCCAGCCTTCGGTCCGGGCCTCTCTGTCCAGCCTGCCAGGGATAATCTGGCCCAACACGGGCCGGGACGTAAGGGCCGGGCAATGCAAAGGGCAGGCCCCAGGGCGGGCCCTTGGGAAAGCACCCCAAGGGCCCCACGGGAGTGTTCGAGCCCCTGGAGTGGCCGCGTGTAGATGGACAAGAGGAGTGCAGTGGGCAGGGGGAGGGGGCCTTCCCTTGGACGGGGGGTCGGCCCTCGTGGGGTCTGTTTCGCCTTTATCCTCGAGGACAGGGCACCCTGAGACGCGGAGCGCGCGGAGCCCGTCCCTGACCCAGCGACGTGTGCTCGTGGGAAAGAACCCAAGAGCGGCGTCCTTCAGTTCACGGCCCGGAACGTCTTCACCCGGACTCGTCACGCCACGGAAACAGACTGGCGGCGGGGCAACTCAAACTCGCAGCGGTTCCTTGCTTCGGCGCTGCAGGCCGGTGTAAATACGTAAAGGAGAGACGCGCGCTGTTGTAGTGGCAGTGGCGCTGTTCTCCCCACTTGGCAGGCCGATTCCGGAAGCGTGGCTGTGCCTCTCTCTCCGCGTAGGAGTGCGAGAGACAGGGCGTCGGTGCACGGTCGGCCCCAGGTTACCCCCGCCCCGCACGGACACTGCGGACAGGTGCCGTTCGTCAAAGGCGCAGCGGCGCAGCGGCGCATCGCGCGCTACATTATGGAGGGGGTCCGTGCGGGCCGTCCGGGCAGCGCCGCCATGGCCATGCCGGCGCCACCGGGAGGCACTGCTTGGGGGGCAGGGCGAGGCGGGGCGAGGCTAACGCCATTCGAGTCACGGTCCGTTCAATTATTGAGGCAAACCAGAGTCGGCGCGGGGAGCGGGGCGGAGCGGGGCGGAGCGGGGCGGAGCGGGGCGGAGCGGGGCGGAGCGGGGCGGAGCGGGGCGGAGCGGGGCGGAGCGGGGCGGAGCGGGGCGGAGCGGGGCGGAGCGGGGCGGAGCGGGGCGGAGCGGTGGGGGAAGGGAGCGTGTTCCAGCAGACACTGTCATTCGCCGGACCCACCGTCGCGCACGAGTCACTGACCAACACTGTTGACTCTGCGCGCGCCTCTGTGTGTGTGCGTGTTTCTGTCTGTGTGTCGGCAAGACGGATGGTGCCGTTGCAGCGGCGGGGCGTGGCGCCGCGCTGCGCTGCTGAAGCCATTCCTCCCCTCCTGGATTGCTTCTGAGTGAGGGGTGCCACTTACGGTGCTAAACATTTATGAACTAAGATCGTGCGGCCCGGCCCGGCTCGGCGCGGCCCGGCTCGGCGCGGCCCGGCTCGGCCCGGCCCGGTCGGCCCGGCCCGGCTCGGCGCGGCCCGGCTCGGCTCGGCGCGGCCCGGCTCGGCTCGGCGCGGCCCGGCTCGGCGCGGCTCCAGGCGGAAAGAGAGAGGGGTGGGGGCAGCCTGTGGCGACGGAGTGGCATAAACTCCTCCCCCGCCCCTCCGCGACGTCCACGACGTCCACGACTCCGCGGATGCCCATTTTGGCGGGAAAGAGGTTCCGTCGTAGAAACGGCCCACCCCTCCCCCTTTCTCAAAGGGTTCTGGCAGGGCTGGCAGGCTCGGGAAAGTTGCGTGTCCTGACGCGCGGGGGGTAAAATCCCTCTGGCTGCCAGCATGCTGCCGGCGCCAATTAACCAATGACGTAATTTTGGTTGTTGGAATTTCGGGGACGCGTTCATTAAAACAGCGGCAAAATTAAAACGGGAGTCGAAGCGCACCGGCGGCATAGCGGCACCCTGGCAACACGGCTGGCACCCTAAAGAAATAATTTTTTCATCTGAAACTGTTTTTTCCCACGTGCAATGCTCTCAACTAACGCGATGCGAGGCCACTTTCGGGTTGAGAACTTATTCATTTCGAGTAAACGCCATAATCCTCTACAGCGTTGGGGTACTCTGTTCGAAAAAGGGGCACCCGGCGCATTAAAATTGCTGGAACGCGATATCCATTAACCCGGCGCGGAGAGGCAGCCGGCTATCAGTTACCCGGCCACGATCGGGCCGCGGGGGAGAAGAAGAGCCCCACCCCAAAGACAGCCTCTTACCTCGCCATCAGCCACGAGCCTCCGACTTGATCTGCGTGTGCTGCCCGGGGAGCCGAGGAGGGGGCGCTGAGGGCCTCATCTGCATACTCATGCGACGCAGGGCGAGTGTTGTTCCCCCCCCCCTGCCCCGCACGCCCTTCCCGCCACGGACGGCCCGACACAATAGTCAGCAAGGATGGAGGGGAAACTTTGACATCCCCCCCTCCAAAGTCGTCATCGTGGCAGCAGCCCTGCGTCTTATCGGGCCCCGCGCTCCTGCCTGCATCCCTCTCAGAGGCTCGGATCGTTTCACCTGCACCCCCCTCCAGCAGGCCCCGACAGAAACAGCTGCAAGGCGGACAAAACCGCAGCCTCACCAACCTGCGCCACGTCGAATTTCATCCCACATGGGCCACGCAACAACAGTGCCCTCCAGACTCCTGCCTCTGTCCCTCTCCGCAGCGGGTGCGAAGGAAACGGAGCGACATGACGCGTTGCGGAATCGCTCCGAACACGCGGCGGCCGAAACGGGCCTGGCCTTGGCCGCGAGGCAGGTTGAAGGAGAAACACAGGCTGGCCGCCCTGGAAAGGCGACGCGACGCGACGCCATGCCGGGTACAGGGATGAGCCCAGGGCCGTGGCGTGCTCTCCAGGTGGCCCCCTCCCCCTGCCCCTCCCAGCCCAGAAGTTATTGCCGCCCGGTCCCGCCTGGGGTCGCCGTGCCGTGCCGTGCCGTGCCGTGCCGTGCCGCCGTGCGCGTTCGTCTCACAGGTCAGAGTGCCTCCAAATTGGAGCAGACGTTCGTTTTTTCCGGGAGGCGTTTGGCATCTCCTCGTAATAAACACCGGAGCGTTTCTGTTACTCTCTGTTTTCGTCTCCAAGGCTGCCGGCTGTTGTTCCGTTTTCGTCCCGCGGGTTTTCGCGCTTCATTTTTTTTTCTTTTTTGAGTATGGCATGAATATCGGTCGTGCGTGGGTTTGTCTTTTGTTTTTTTGCAGAGAGGCGGTGAATATTGATGAGTCGGTAACTTCAGAAGGCGGAGCGGCGTTGGCGCAGTTTACTCTCGGTGACCTTGGCGCGACCTTTGGCTCAAAAGACTGCAGCGTTGACGCAGCCCCGGAGAAACTGCAGTGCCGCCTCGACCCGTGCCTGCGGCCGGCTGGCCCATGAAACGAAATGATTTTACTGGCGGTTTTTAGCCGTCCGAACGTTGTGTTTAAAGTCCCGAAAACAAGGGCCAACGTTGTTAGGTTGGCCACAGTGATTCGTAATTGTTTCCGCGTGTTGGCATTGCCGGCCCGGCTCGCCGCGGCTCGCCCTAAGCGGCTCAGCGCTCCGGGCTAACGAGAAGGGGCGGCGACGCAAACTTCCAAGTCAGCGTGAAAAAAAAAGAAAAAAAAAACTTTCAGAAAGATAAAAGCGTTGTCGAAGGCAAAACTAGAACTAACAAAGTGATGTTAAGGGCCGTCAAAATTAAAATACAAAATCCTATTGTGAGTTTGAAAACAGCAATATTTGCTACTTTCGGGTGGCCACAGCGTCCAACCCAGCTGTGGTCAAAGCCCCTCAACGTCCCCGTTGTTCTCTTAGGACCCAACTCTTTCATGCCCCCCCGCCTGGGGAACACTTTGACCACACTTAGTTTGGGAGCCCCATTCCAACGACCGACGTCCTCGGGGCGCGGCGCGCGGGCCCAGCCTGCTCTCGTGGACGTCAAAGTGAACGAACGCGCATCCCAGCTGGGCCGGTCGGGGCGGGCCGGCGGGCCACTCTCTGGAGCGCTGGAACTGGAACGCCCACGCCGGCGCTATTCCCCGGGGCGGCGGACAGTCGCTGGACGGCGGAGCAGAGAGCAGCCCTCCAAGGAGGTCACCCTCCCCACTCCGAGCTCCGCCGAGCCGGCCGAGCCGGTACGGCCAAAGCCACGTCTGGGCGGCTGGCCCACGACGCGCGCGGGCCCCAAGTCTGCCCAAGTCCCAGGAGGCGGCGCTCCTGTTCGTTGCCTGTGTTGTTGCCACGCCGAGTGGCCGAAAGCAGCCGAAAGCGGCCGAAGAAGGCAGTCGAGGAGCTAAACGTCGTGCAAAGCTGCGAAGAAACGGGAGCGCCCTGTTTAAGGTGCACCAGCGGGTGGCGGTTTTGCAGGCCGCTGCTGCGCGCCCATGTGACGCGACGCCCCAGAAAGTAATTTACGCGGCTCGTTGCCATGGCAACATTATTGGGCCAAAACACGCACACACGAACATGCAGTGTACACGCGTCATCGCGCCTCCATCGCGGGGCGGCGGTAATGCTCGCCACGGCCAGCGCCACGCCGCCTGCATCGGCGGGGTAGGCAGCCCGCCGAACGGCGGCGCGTGGAGCCGTCGGCGGCGGCCTACCGCCGTACCATTACCATTACGGGCTAGAGCACAACTGGCCGGGGCGCCATGTTCAGGCGGGCTTACCTGGGCCGTCCCGGCGACGCTGGCTGCGCTGCCACTTCGTTCTCCGCTAGCTCCGCCTGCGCCTCGACAGGAACGGCAGGCTGGACGACGACGGGGACGTCCCGCTCGACGGGGAAGTCGGGCTGCACGACGAGGGCGTCGGGTCGGACGACGAGGACGTCGGGCTGGACGACGGCGGGGACGCCCGCGGCCGGTGCGGTGGGGGACGGCGGCACCGCCCCCGCATTCTCCAGGTTGGCGCGCGGCGGCTCTTCCTCCGCCATGACGACCTCCTGCGTCTACAGCAGCATGCCCCCTCTGCAACAACCAGAAGGCCGCGGTTCAACAAGGGCCCTCGCCTCCCTCCCAGACAAACAAGGCAAACACAGGCTGCGCACAGGCAGCGCACAGGCAGCGCCGGGGGCCGTGTTCATCGACATCGCAAAATGTTGGCAAACTCGCAGTAGTTCGAGGAAAGGGTGGCAATCCCGAGCGAGCAACCCGCGGAGGCGGATCGGGCGCACACACACACACACAAACATTTCAGTGGCAGCGCAAGCGCGGGGTTCCGCGTTCCACCGCCCGGGATTCCGCGGTGGCTCGAGTCATCCTTGTGATACGCGAACGTGTTTGCTGAGGGCCCCGGGGGGTGGGGGGCGGGAAGGACGCATACCCTCGGCAATAATTGTTATTCTTGCATGAAGACATGGAAGCCGTTGTTTGCCGAGACGCGTGCTTGCGGAAGAATGCTCGCTTCCAGTTCGCCCCCAGCCCGGCCTCCGTGAGGGGCATGCGGGCGGACGCAGGCCCCAGCACGGCCCCCAGCACGGCCCCCGGTGGCACCACCACACCGGCATCGAATTTGGCGTGCCAGAGCTGAGCCGGGCTGCCTGGCTCGGGTAGGGTTTGGGTGTCTTGGGTATCGCACTCGCGCGGCAGGGTTCCATTACCGGCCCGGCGTGTCTCCGACCGTCGCCATGTCTTCGCCACCTCAGGTGCTGCCATAGTGCAGCTCCAGTGTTGTGGGTGCGTCGACAGTCAGGACGCTGCCGTTCTATCCTATCCCCACTTTACGGGACGTGGACGCGCCTGACTTTAACGCGATTGGAGTCGCAGTGCGCCGCTGCGCTGGGGCTGGGACGACAAATGTCAAGCGCTGTAACTACGGCTCGGCTCCCACTAGGCTTCCGTCGGCTCCCGTCGGCTCCAGCTCGGCTCCCGGCCGCCTAGCTGAAGTAATGGCGGCAACGACGCCGTAATGACGCCCACTCTGCGCTGCGAGTGAAGAGTGAAATCGCCCCCCCCCCCCCCCCTTCCTCGTCTCGCGTCCGCCACGGCCGGCTCGGCTTGCCCGGACTCTTGGTCCACTGATTCACTGGTTCCGGACATCACATATCACTGCCGTCGCCCTGTCTCGCTTGCACTGGCGGGACGTCCCATGAGTGCGAGCGAGGCAGGGCGACGAAGCGCCATCCGTCCGTTCTGGCGGGGCTGGCGGGGCTGGCGGTCGCTGGGAATGAATTTCGGTGTTCCGATGGGCCGCAAACAATGGCCCTCGAGCCGCGCGATCAAGTGGTTCGTCGTCGCGTGGTCCGGGGGAGGAGGGAAGGGGGAAGGGGGACGGAAATTGGAGGAGGCATCAATGGAAAATCGTGATCGACCGTCCATGCCGCCGACACAGGAGTACTCGAACCGAGCCCCGAAGATAGTCCCCCATGGGTTCTTCCCACAGGACCCCCCAGCCCATGAAAGCAACCCGCCCCCCTTACCCCCCTCGGGTGAAGTGACCCGCCCACGCGGTGAGATCACGTTTGCGAACAAAGAAGCCAGCCTCGCTGGAAGGTGTGCTCAAACTGAAAGACTATATCGTCGGCTCAACACTGCCACACTCGCCGTGCGCTGAAAGGCCACTCCACTGGAGAAAGCCGCGGGGGAAGGAGGAAGGGGGCGCTAAAATGACGAAAAATAAGGTGGGCGGTGGGTGTGCGATTCCACGCGCGCCGACCCCTGGCCCTGCCCCGGCCCCTGCAGACTGATTCCGAGAGTCGCTCTCGTCGCTCTGTCTCTCTCGCACTCACGGGGCGCGCCGTATGGAGCGAAAGAGGGGGCTACGAAAACGACTCTCGGAATGAGTCCGCTGGCCCCGTCCCCTGGCCCCGTCCCCTGGCCCCGTCCCCTGGCCCCAGGCATGCCGAGCCTTGTCGTGCCGAGGGCGAGGGGGATGGCCGAGCCATACAGCGCGCTTCCACGAATACCAAGGGCGGCGGGGCGGGGCGGGCTGCTTCAAATAACGGCCAGCACGCGGAATACTTTCATTTCTCCGCTCCCCGTTGTTTACCTAAAGACATATTTGATGAGTGAGATTGGAATTTGGGCCGGGTCCTATGGACGCCGGCGGACCCGGGCAGCCCTGCCGTCCAGGCCGCGCGCCGTCACGGTGTCCGGCCGTGCGTCAACGGGAAGGGTCGCGGGGCGGGGCGGGGGCGGCCAGCGAGGCGTGTCGGGCCTTGGCGCAGCAGGGGTCGTGGAATGGAAGGAAGCAGGAGGAAGGCGGAAGAAGGCAGGTCGAGATGGCGCAGCCAGCCACGCCTCCTGGCCGCCACGCCAGCGGGGGGCGCGGCGGGACGCGGCGGGGCGGAGCACGGCGTCGTGGCCGTGGCGCAGATTTACCCCGTGCCACGCCAAAGGCGGCCAGGAAGGCGAGAGCTGGCCGGAGCCCAGGCAGGCTGAGGGCTCAGGCCGTGCGCCGTGTGGAGTGGAGTAAAGTGAAAAGTGACGCAGCGGCCCCAGGAGGGCCATCCGGCTGCCGCACGTCGTCGCCACGTCGCCACGTCGGCGGCTCTGCGGTGCTCTGCGACCGGCCCGCCTCTTCCACGCTCTAGTCCGGCCTGAAGTACGTCCTGGAGCTGTTCTGGGCACGCCTCCCAGTGTTAAGCCCCCACCGTAGGGCCCTAGCGCGCGCGTGCGGTGGCCGCTGGGCCGGGCTAGCCCAGGCTAGCCGCAGGGCTCCGCGATGGCGGCTGCACGCCGCACGCCGCGCGTGGCGCCGCGGGCGTCAAACAAGCCAAACTTGCGCCAAACTCGGCGGGCCGTCACGCGCAGTGCGCAGGGTGCGGCGCGGTGCGGCTCGGGGCGCAGCGGACCGGTCTGACGGCGCGCAGCGCGCATGCACTGGCAAACTAAAGACAGGCCCGACGCCCCGTCGACGGCCCGTCGGCCCGCCCGCCCGTGCGGCATGACTGACGGCTTACTTACCTCCCCCGCGGCGCGCGGCGACGCCCCGCCGACGTCCCACCCGACGCCACGCCGACGCCCACCCGGCCAGCGGCGCCGCGCCATGGGTGCCATCGCCCTATCCGTGGCCCCGCGGCGGCGGGATGAAAAGTGTCAGAAATTACTGTCACCCCTCCCCTCCTCCTCCACCACCACCCCGCGCTCACCGGCCTGGCGCCCCTTCGCCTCGCCGCTGCCCCGATCCCAAGGCGCCCTGGTAATGGATTGGAGCCGACGTATGGGAACGAAAGAGCAAGAGCGGCAGTGCTGCGCGGCCCAGCCAGGCCCAGCCAGGCCTCGTCTGGCGCACCCCACCTGCGAGGAAGGTGTTCTGCTGAGGAGGTTCCGTTCAAGGCGTTCCACCGGACGGCGTTCCACCGAGGGCGTTCCACCGAGGGCGTTCCACCGAGGGCGTTCCACCGAGGGCGTTCCGTTTAGGGCATTCCGTTGAGGGCGTTTCGCTGAGGGCGTTCCACGCATCGCAGGGCGGTGATAAGCACGTCACACCTCGCACGCCCCCAAGCCACGCAGCCACGCCCCGCCACGCCCCGCCACGCCCCGCCCGTCTTGCAGGCATCGACCTGGCCCTCCTTGTGCGCCTGCAGGAACTATTGACGCACCCACCCACCTGTTAGCCCTGTTAGCCGCGCCTGCAGGGCTGCCAACTGGGGGAGCCAAATTCGGGAAGCGCGCGCGTGTGCGTGCGTGTTGATAAGGCGGCCTCCATTCCCGACACCATTCCGGACCAATATTCGACACGTATCGCGCCAGTGCCAGCACGCCCAGCACGCCACAGCGCGTGGTGGTGGAGAGGCGCTCACTAGCAATTCGCGGAGGGTAAATAAATCGCGCGTGAATCCCATTTTTTGTTTGTTTTCCATTGGCCGATACACTGGACGCACTCCCCAACCGTTCCACGCGCGTCGCGGCTCCGCAAGTCTGAGGACAGCGATCTGCCTCCGCGTGCCGCTGTCACAATGAATGGGTGAAAAATGAACCCACAGTGTAGCAGCGTTACCGCAAGTTGGCCAAATCGGCGCGAAAGGGAGCGACTGTGCAGGCAATAGCAACCGCCAAAACCAAACAAAAGGCTCCTCAATACTCCGAACACACAGTCTTGGAAAAGCGGCTCCGTGCAGAAATTAGGCTTGCTGGGCGGGGCTAACCACCCCGGCGGGCAGCGAGCCGACTAAGCCAAAGCGGGCTGTGGCGATACGCCACTCGGCCCGGCCGAACAATACGGAACCGCCGCACCGCCGCACCACCACAGCGGAAAATGGGGTCGCCGACGAGCACCCCGCGTCTCGGAGTTCGACAAAGGGCCCCTCTAGGGGAATGGTAGAAACTGCGGTGTATTTCAGCTTGGTCCGGGCTCTGGTCCAGTGTACTAGCGAGAGAGCGTTTCATGCCGATTCGCGGAACACGCTTTACTGATCGCGAAGGAATGTGGAGCCAGCGCGCCAGCCGAGCCTAACCTAACCTGCGCGTGCGACCACGTGAGTAATTAGACCTGGGCGGACTCAAAGGACATGGGATGGGGCGCGGACGCGCGGACGCGGCCAGTGAATGCCGGTCGGTGCGGCGCCCCTTTCACATGGGGACCGCGAATGAGTTATGTCCGGTTGAATCGAATCACTGGGTGGGACGCGCGGTCAAGAGGCCCCGAAAGGGGGGAGGGGAGGGGGGGAGGGATCCATCAGGCAGCCACCGCAGACTGATAGAGATGGAATGGCCGAGCGTGGCGAGAGCAAAATATTCGCGGCGGTGGAACACCAAAGCAGAGAGGATCTGCCCGTGCCGTGCCGTGCCGCGCCGTGCCGTGCCGTGCCGCTAGCAACGGCCTGCTG